CTCATCACTTCCAAAAGTGGAGTCAGCACTAGGGGTTTGTCAGGAAGAAGGATACTGAGGGGTTGGGGGTCTTTGTCCTCACCTGGTTCAGGTTCTGTTGGCCCAGTACTCAGGGGTTCTGCTCCATGATGTGCTCAGCTTCCTGAAGATGGGAGAAGAGGGGTCCACTCATACAGGCACGAGAACACTAGCGATCTCTAGTCAGAGCCTATACCAGTTGGTGATATTGGCCCTAGCCAGTCTTTCTCTCTCCACTTCTCACTGGCAATTTCTGTTTTGCTCATCATACTCAGCAGCTGCCCTTCTCTGAGACTCTTCCATCGTGATTCTTTCTTCAGACTCATGACATACTGGCTGCAGCTCAGTCTGCTGTCTTTGTCCTTTCTGTCAGATGGCTTCATCATAGTCAAAGGAGACAGTAAAGTCCCAGGTGGGAAAATACCTTTGTATAGTCTCCTCCCATCATTCTCATTGTCTCTGCTCATTATTGGGCTGTCCAGCAATGTCTTCCCCCATCCAGGCACTGATGGCTGAGGGAGAATGAAGGCCATGAGGCTGGCTGCCAGATGTTGATATGCAGAATCTTGAAGCCATCCAAGGGGCATCAAGAGAGTCCCTGGCATGGTCAGCAATCCCATAGGTCTGAGAGACAGAAAAGGGGGAGGGGGACTGCTGAAAGAAGTCCTCAGAGAGATTCTCATCTTCATGGTTGGAGACTGTGTCTGATACAAAGATTCTACATCCTCCTGGAATGCGAGAGTACTGGTTTTTGGGTCAGGGAGAGTGCTGTTTTCCCTCTTCTTCCTGACCATCCCCCTGATGCAAGTCACTAGGCCTGGCTTCTGAGAGCTGATAGGTCATTCATTGGGATTCTGAGATATTATGTAATAGGAGATCAGAAGTTACATTTTATAAAATATGCTAAATGTTTTGAAATTTCTGATAATGTCTGATGGCCCAAGTGGTAATGAAATGGCATCTCTGACACAGCTGAATGATCACTAATAAACCAATCAGTGTTCCAATGATGGAAGAGAGGAGTTCAAAGAACTGATGATCGAAGTTAGAATTGTCATTGTTTAAGAGGAGCATTCAGTTTCTCAGCACAATTAGGCTTAAGAAAGGGAATAAGGAAGCTTCAAGCTAATTGTTAGACTCAAGTGCCACATGTTTAGAATCACATGATAATCAGGTGTCCCTTTGCACTTTGAGGGATCAGCTGAGTTCACTTGTTGTGAATCCAAACAGTGTGTCACAAGGCCTGTGGTGTTGGCTCGAGTATAGAATGAGATGAATAAACTTTAGCTCAAAGCTGGAGTATACCAGCAAGAGCTGTGGTCCTTAAATACTGTTCTGACTATGCTAAGAATATTACTACTAATTGTATCTCCTTGTGTCTATGGTGCCCATTGTCCTAGAGCATCACTGCTGTACATAAAAGAATGATTATGCATTGTTGAGCATCGTTGATGTGCATTAGAGAACAATGGTGAAGTCGACCAGTTTGTGATGACTAAGCCACTCCCATGATCCTAAGCACCTCTGTCTTGACATCTTGATTAAGCATAAATAGGGGTTTTAAAGGAGGGAAAAGGAAAAAATTGTAACAAACCACAGTTCTGTGAGTCATATGTCTATGCTAAAGCTACATGAAAGCCAGTGTCTAAGGCTTGAGGGGAAGAATATGCAACCAATATTAGAGGTGAAATTCACTTTGATTTATAGGGACCTGCATCTGTAGAATCTCTGTGTAAACACTATTACTTCATCTCTTTCATTGATGACAGCACTCATTGGGCTTACCTTAAATTCTTACACCAGAAGAGTGAAGCTTTTACAGCATACAAAGCCTATAAAGCTCACATCTACACTCAGTATGACTGCCCTGTAAAAATCCTCCATTCAGACCATGGAGGTGAATACTTTGACAAAGTGTTTGTCTTGCATCTGAAAAATACCAGCACAGCAAGAAAGATGACTGTGCATAATATGCCACAGCACAATGGGGTGGCTGAAAGGTATAATTGCACAGTTATCAAAAAAGTCAGGACTATACTGCATTCGAGTGGCTTACCTCACTTCCTATGGGCTGAGGCTGTTCACTATGCTGTTTGGGTCCTCAACAGAATATTGACAAAGGCTCTGAATGGGATGACTCCTTATGAAGCTGTCACAGGAAAGAAGTCAGATCTAAAAGGGTTGTGGGAATGGGGAGAGAAATGCTGAGTACACCTTGAGACTAAGGCTATGAAGTTGGATAGCCACATATGTGAAGGTCAATGGATTGGATTCAATGAAACAAGCAATGGATCTCATGTCTACTGGACAGAGAGCAAGATGGTGTCCATTGAGTAAAATGTCTATTTTGACACAACTCATATTGCCACTGACAATCTTGAAGGAGAGAAAGACATTGAGCTACACAAGATTCTGTCAATGCCAAAAACTCAGTCTAATCCACCTACTGCAAAGCCATCACAGGTGTCACCTACCCCTAAAGCCCAGCCTACAGTCCAACCCATAGTTGAAAAAACCCATTCCAGATGCACTTGAAAGTCTAGCTAGCAGGTGCTGAACCTCATCTCTGGCAAAGGCAGTGTATTAGCACACTCAAGCAATTCTGTGGTATCTGTTGGTGTTCAGTTACCAGTTGCCAATGAAAACAACAAACCTCTCAAGTTTGAGGGAGAAGGAGAGGCAGATTGGTTGATGATACTCAAGGATGCTGACTTCCTTGAGGAGTATGCCATAGCCATTTCAACAGCTGATGCAGAAGCCTTAGAGCCATGCAGTCTAGCTGAAGCAAAGCATCAGCCTGATTGGCCTTTGTGGAAAGATGCAATACAGGAAGAGCTTGCAACATTGAAGATTGTGGAGACTTGGAAAATTGTCAAAAAACCAGTTGGAGCAAATGTCATGGGCTTAAAGTGGATCTTTTGAATCAAGAAGAATGCTGAGGGAGGCATAGTCAAGTTCAAGGCTCGCTTGGTAGCACAAGAGTTCTCACAAGTACCTGGCATTGACTACTTTGACACTTATGCTCCTGTTGCAAGACTTGCATCTATCCATTCAATCCTTGCTATGGCTGTGACACTCGACCTAGAGCTCCATCAAGTCAATATCAAGAGTGCATACTTGAATGGAAAGCTCACCAATGAAGAAATCATTTACATGTGTCAATCTCCTGGCTATCCTGAGCCTGGCTCCCATCCTGATCAAGTCTGCCATCTCATAAAGACTCTATATGGTTTGAAGCAGAGTGGTTGTCACTGGTATCAATATCTTGTTGAGATTTTGGTGGTGCAGCTGGGATTCAAGCAGTGTAACATTGATCAAGCCATGTTTTATAAGCAGGAGGGCCAAAACTTGACTATCATTGCTGTCCATGTTGATGACTGCACCATCACAGCATCATCATTGCATCTAGTGCAAGAGATAAAAGAAGGTATGGCAAAATACATGGAAGTGATAGATTTGGGAGAGCTGCACTGGATTCTCAGCATTGAGATCATGCATGACTATGAGTCATGCTCTGTTTCTCTTTCCCAATGCTCGTATATCGATGCCATTGTTTATTGCTATGGCTTTGAAGACCTCAAATCAGTCTCTATACCAATGGATATTAATCTCTGTTTGTCTTCCTTTCCTGCACCAGCCTCTACCCAAGAAATTGCAGCCATGAGAGATGTCCCTTACAGGGAGTCTGTTGGCTCTTTGATCTGGGTTATGCTCAGGACATACCCTGACATCGCATTTGCGATGACAACAGTCTCGAAATATTCAACAGCTGCTGCAGAGGCTCATTGGAAGGCCGTAAAGCACATTTTTCACTACCTGAAGGGCATGAGAGATTACCAGCTGATGTTTGGGGGAAACAGAAAGGTTTTGCATGGTTATGTGGATGCTGATAGGAGCATGGCAGAGGATAGGCATGCCATTACTGGGTATGCTTTCATGCTGAATGGTGGAGCTGTTTTGTGGTCATCTAAAAAGCAGGAGATCATCTCACTTTCAACCACCGAGTCTGAATATGTGGCTGCAACACATGCATCGAAGGAGGTGCTCTGGCTTTGCAGTCTGCTCTCTCAGGTTTTCTCACTGATTACTAAGGCTACAACTTTATTCTCAGACAATCAGTCTGCTATTGCACTCTCAAAAGATCATCAGTATCATGCCTGAACCAAGCATATCGACATTCACTTTCACTTCATTTGCTGGGTCATCAGTGAAGGCTCCCTTCATCTTGTTTATTGTCCCACTGAGGACATGGTTGCTGATGCTCTCACCAAGCCTTTACCTTCAGCCAAGGTGAAGCACTTCGCTACTGAGCTTGGACTTTGCTCTGCTTGAGGGGGAGTGTTGGATTATCAAGCAGGAGCTCCATCATATCCCGCCGGCCAAGCTCAATACCCCTTTATGTCGGGATGGACTATATATATTGAATACGGTCCATCGAGCACCCTCACCATGTTTCTGCTTATTGCTACACTGTGTGAGGTCTACGTTATAGCTAACAGCATACTTTATTAGGTGCTACGAATGCGCATCATTTTCTTAGACCTTGAAGAAGATACAGGACGATACTATTTGGTCATCGTGGTCAGAAGAGTCCCGGATATTCGGCTCGCTTTCCCAGAGTTGATCGATATCAACTCTCCCTCGATATCAAGTTTGGTTCGTCGTTCAAACACTCAGAATCCTACGTGACTTGGTCAGGCAGAAATTATTCTTCCAGCTGTCAGCAAAGAACTTACAACTATCTGTCTTTGATGCGGACGCCGGATCCAAAGGTCATGAGGAATGCAATGTACTCCTAGCCGGTACATTTTTACTGCTACCATATTGCATACTTTGATGGGTATAATTCAGTATGAGAGGAAAGACCCACATTTCTGATCTAGTTAAGAATCTTATTACCACGAGACCTCAGGACATCTGTCGATCTTTGATGGACCTAAGTCAAAGATGATTTACGGTGGGATTATTCTCATGATGCAGATCTTTGTCAGACAATCACCTTGCGAGTATGTGCTGCACGTATTTCTAGAGTTCCTTGCGCTGGCATGCTAACTCTCCTTTCTTCTTCCCGACAGAGATGCCAGAGATGGTTCAAGATAAGTACTCGGGCACCTATTCTTCTCATAGGGAATCACTGGATATCAATGAGCCCAAGAATAGAGAGTCAGGAACTGTCCCTTCAGCAAGGCACTGAAGGTGATCTTCTCGATGAGCTGATTATCTTGGACGGGTTTCGAGTGGATTTGTGAATATATCGTGCGTATGTTATCCCACAGGCCACTTACCTCCTTCTCTCTTCCCTCATCCAGAGATCCCCAATGACCATCCAGACTAACATCCCACGAGACCTTTCCGACCCCGACAGAACCGCCATATTTCAAAATCTTGATACTGACTTGAATTCAAGGATACTCTACTCTCTGCTGAATGGTGCGTACATTGATTCAAACTTGTGATACGTGTCTAATCAGAGCGCTCCATAGGGATATATACCGGGATTGTTGCCGTAACATTGTGGAATATCTGTGAGCCTGGTAACATCCCTACAATGCGACACAAGCTCATGTGAATGACATAGTTATGGACAAGTCCCGGGCTGTCGGACGAGCCATGGTCGTCCTGATAATACTCCTCTATATCGTTACTACCGTTGACTTCGCCCTTATCATGTCAAACATCAACTCTGTATTCGTCGATCACGGACAGAGCTTTCGGACCGAAAACGTGTTCTACGAGAGTCCCGGTGTATCGGCAATAATCAGCACGGGTGTAGCAAGTACCCTCTGTACGATCCTCGCAGATTCTACCATGGTGAGTGTGACAATGCAATTTTCGATGCCGCATACAATCCAATTGTAGATTTGGCGTTGTTGGACCGTCTGGGGTCAGCGGTGGCTGATCATTCTGCTTCCTGCACTCTTTCTTGTTTGCGCAGTCGGTAAGACCTCTCAGACCTCTTAGTTGGCTGATTTACCCAAGCGTTCGTGCAGTGTTTAAACTTCTTGGTGACTACGAAGACTTTACCGTCTCCAATTCCTATATTCTCGGTTTCGTACTCTATTCATCCTTCCTCCTTGCTACGAACTTTTTATGCACCTTCCTTATCGTCTACCGCATCATCACTGTCGCTCGAGTAGGAGGGGGAGGGAGCGGAGTCAGAGCTTACCGGCGCATTATCGAAGTCTTGGTCGAATCATACGCTCTTTATTCGATGTCGCTGGTCTTATACGTGGCGTTCTACGCTCGTGATGCTTATTTCGGGCCATACTTTGATATACTAGCAGCCATCGCAAGGGTACGCTCATGTTATTTCCCTAGATCAGCATCTAACAGACATCGTGTAGGGAATTGCCCCGACGATCCTCGTAGGACGCGTCGCAGCAGGTCACGCCCGCCCAGACGACTCTTGGCAGGGAAGCGCGGTATTGGGCTCGCTTCGCTTCGGGACGCGTCTCAGAGGTCAGAATTCCACGATGAGTGGAGACGTTGAAGCTGAACGGGAGAGACACGACAAGTATGGCCACCGATCCGTGGCCGAATCCCAGGAAAATATTGACATCAGCTCGGAGGATGTCATCGGTAATAATAGCCCCGAGGTTGAGTTGGAGAGACCAGCCGATAGTCATCTTAATAATGAGAATGGCATTCGTGGGGATGCTCAGCAGGACAGTCCGGAGGGCAATCTCAGTGGGATATTCATTGTATCAAGGGATTGATGATATTTATGACCGTATTTTGCTTCGAGTATGCTCTATTTGTTCTCTATCACCACATCGTTGTTCAAGTTTTTGTTTGTTTATTGGATTTGAAGTGCATACAGGGGAATTGCAATTCAGCTCCCTCCATTTAACGATATCATGAGGCGCCAGCTCTCGGACTAAGTAGGTGACGAAACAAAGGGGAATCTGTGCTGAAATGAACCCACTCGTGAAAGAGAAAGTATGCCTACCAGGGTAAGGCGCAGAGTGCCGATGTCGGAAAACGGGACCCTCGAACAACATTCAGATCATTGCGCGCCAAGAATTTTCTTTACTGCAGTTCAATAATGAACTGCCTCCTTCTCAAGGTACTCACTGTGCGCCTTCGACATTGCTTGATGTCCGAGCTTCGTACGGTGGCCACCGATTCGGAATGCCAAGCGTTGTGCTGATAATCATCAAGAGAATTGATGGCACCCGCTCATTATTTGGAAATCCGCCGACTCACGAAATCGAGTGTGTTTGTAGCTAGAGGGGACAGAAGAGAGGGTGTGGTTGCCATTTTGGGGCTTCACTCTTCCGTGCGCACCAAGTTTGCAAAGAGGATATGGTTGTTCCCTACGGTATGGAGAGAAAGAATCATCCGAGTCGCTCTTGATGATTAGATCCCCGTTAGGAAAAAGGAACGTGTCAAAATAAAGTTTTGTGCCACAAGTCGACCAAAAGCGACACCGCGTGATCTCGGAGAGGCGGGATCAGGTCCAACTTTTTACCACTACTATCCCCTTCTCCCTTTCTTTTGCTCTCGCTGTTCTTGCTTTCGATAACCGTGCATCGCTATCCCTCATTTAGACTGCTCACATCAAAATGGCCTCAACCATGGAAGCAGGTGTACTCTCCCGGGCGGCACAGCGCAAACAGAGGCTCTTGGAAATTGAGAATGAACAGAGGATGGAAGATGCGGAAGCGCTGAAGATGACGGAGGTGCTTGGAATTGCTGAACTGAACGTCTTCCACGCTGACGGCGTTATAGGAACAACGGCAGGTATTGCTACGCTCATTTGCGACCGTGACTTCCGAATTCTTTCCTCTCGATGGGCTGCAATGGACACCAGTATCGTTGAACAAGCGCATACAGGTACGTTCGCCCTGCCATCCCCTGTTCACATCTTGTGACTGAAAGAGGTGTAGGTGATGAAGCGAGTGGCGACGAAGGAAGCAGCCCCGACGACCGCCTCGGATGACCGGCCCATCTTTGCACCTGCCTCGCCCCCGCCACCAGCTCTTGCTTCCATCACAAACGCCACTCTCGGGTCCGCAGAAGACACTATACGCGTGTCGTCAGCGTCGATGTCTGCATTCCTGACGTCTTACTATGCCTCTCCTTCTCGCAGCGGGGAACGGTCCAGGTCGCCTGTCAAGGGCCTGTTTATGGAGGAAGACGGGAATCCCTTCGTCAACGAGGCAGACGAAACGACTATCCGCGGTCGTCTCAGTCGAAAGTCAGAGACCTCTTTGCCTGCGCCTATATCCACGTCAGCCAAACCGTTGGACGACGATGAGCTACGCACGCCTATCGCGCCATTTCATTCTATATCTTTCAAGCAGATCCATACCTCTCTTGAACAATCCATCCCTACACCCTGTCCGTCGAGGAAGAGGAGACTAGATGGATCTCCTTCGACTGGCACGAAGCGTTTACATCACATATAGCTATCCTTATTGCTATTTTGCTCAACCCCCCACGTAAATACCCAGCCGCGCAATGTATATGGATTTACCGAACATGATATGGGTTGTTAAGACATTATCCATAGGCATGAGTACCCACCTATCTGCTCTCACAGTACTACGCGGTCACATGCAGTTGCATCAACTGATCATGATATCTTGATTGTATAGGGTCCATCCTGAATACTGGATAGTAACAAGCGAAATATGTGGGAAATCTGTGGAGGATAAAAGGTTGAGTGAAATTTGGCCGGGTATTCCCGGATCCTGATAGTTTTCGATATGGCTAATTAACAGGTTTTCCTAATCATCTCTGTCTGTTGATCAGCAGAAGCAGCCACTCGTCAGGCCTTCGGAAGGGGTGGCTGCTCCCTCTATTTAGTATCATGATACGTTCAACGCTAGACATCCTGCGTCCGCGACTCATGCTGCCTTGGCCAGTCGTGCGCGGTGCTCCCACGCCGACAGACTTGCCGACTGGAGACATCGCTGATGAACCGGGGATCATATCAGTGCTCCGCTACAAAGAGCGATATCTGCTCTCCCGCCAGCCTCATCGTTCACCACATGCATGTCTCTGGCTTCTTCCGCTGATTCTTCACAGCTTCACGTTTGAAGAATAATTACGAAGTTTGTCCCTATAACTTCGACACCTCCAACACAAACTTCCCTCAATGTTGTTCGGTTACCTCTTGTTCTTTCTGGCCGCCTTGGTATCTGGCGCTCCAACCTCATCAACTGGAGACCTCGTCAATGCACTGAGTATCGGTCCCATCTCCAATATCACGGTGGACATTAGTGTATGCTCTTTCGCTTCATCATGTGCAACCATAGCTGACGCTCAAACAGCTGAACTCCCTCATCAACAACGTCGTCGAGTACGTTATCCCACCTTTTTAGGCTTTGTCAACCCTTGCTCATCACGTCTCGACGCAGTGTGTCGTTTACCGGTACGCCATCATCCATTCCCTCTCCCATCCGTCCCATAACTCCCGCCCAGTCGCCAACTTCATTCCCGCCGAGCTCACCCTCGACCGCATCGTCGTCTCCGCCGGCGTCAACAATACCCAATACGCCTCCTTCGACCACACTTTTTCCGAGCCCGTCGTCATACCCTTCTTCGGCCACGCGGATTCCGGCATGATAGAGAACGTTCCGCTCACCCAGGGCGCACTGGCGTCGCTTGAGATAGTCCCGCTGGGATATCTGGATTTGCTTAACACGTCAATGTATCTGAGGTGAGGTGTGCGTCGTGTGCTGTTCTGATTGTGGCTATAGTGTGATACAGGGCAGCGACGGTTTCTGGTCAAAACGGTATCCCGTGGAACCTTACGGGGCTCACGCAGGATGATGTCTCTACTACGTGGGTGTTATTGGAACCTTTTTTTTGGTGAAATAACGTTCACAAATTTTCCGGACAGCTATCAACTTACTTTCGCGAACTTGAAGGAAGACGAGTCATGAGCCACGATGAGGTTTATTTTTTTTGCAGGGATGATTCTTTCTAGATGTTTGCAAACCACTAGGATTGATACCAAGTATCAGCTCTATGATATTCCCCGGAACGGCGTTTACAGAATGTGAGTGGTATAGAACAATCGGAACACCGCATATCCTCTGGACGAACAAGGAGACCAGCATCGTAAGGATGGTGTTGTGTGTGAAAACCCCTGGGAAAGCTTCAAATCTAATAGTTGCAGAGATCATAACGATACCTATTGTACACTGACAAGGTCCCCTCGAACCTAACAAGGACTGTCCACAGTACGCGCCTTTATCTGGTACATGGGTCGGTTCCACCGACGACCCTGCGAGAGCGTAACTCAGCCATTGATACTCCGAGACCCTTGAATGACGTGTGAGCCCACATCACTGCCAACTGAAAGACTAATGGAGGTGTTTACCTGCTCCTCAGCGTGTCTATCAGTGGCTGCAATACTCGGAGCTTTGAATCTCATGGTCTCCAAAGCTGTACTCGGTAGGGACCTGCCATTACCATTCGTAGATATCACAACATTCTCTTGATGGGTATTTCGCAGGCGTGCAGAAATGAAGAGTTACGTAAGCTGCTAGTAGAGCGTTGAGATAGACTGGAAGGGGGTTAGTAAAGACAGGTAGCTACCATATAATGAAGCAAAATACCTCTTGGTAGAGGAGTCGCCCCCCGGGTACCAGAGAGCTGGGAATAGACACAAGCTATATAATATCCTCGCGTCAGGCGGTCCGAGGGTTTAGCACCAAAAGGTTCAAGAATCGTGATAAGAATCACCAACGTGCATAGACTAGCCCATCATCAGTTCGATTTTTTTTTTTCAGAGATAGCTCGTTGAGCACTCACGTAGCGGCCAACCCAGACACGATAACAAAACACCATAGCACCACTAGCAGGAGCGGCTTCATCGTGCTAAATGAAAATTGTAAGCATCTCGGGTGAAAGTCTCTGACCAACCCAGAAGAATTCGGCACTGAGCGGCTTTTCAGGAAGTAGTATGACATGGCTCCGCATATGATGATGTCGACCGCTGCTGTCGTAGCCAAGACTGCTTCGATCGATTCAGTAGAGAAAAGAGGGTGATGGAGTGGGTTTCTGTTGTACCGAAACCACTATAGTAGTCACAGAGTCTCGATAGGTTTCGGCCGTAGATCGGAACAAAACTGCAGCTCAGTCTGCACCGTCGTATAAATTCACTAAGCAATAATGAATCCAATATTTATTGAAACTGCCTGTAGAGCTACATTGCATTCCTTCCCATCAATCTTTAAGGCGAGATGTTAACTCATTATCTGAGCATGACGGATTTATCATCGAATGATGCTTGGCGAGAGATACTATCGTTCTCCAAGGTAAGTCTAAGCTCTGTCCTACTGATTCCCATTCAATTCAGATGAATCAGATATTGTCTACTCATGCTCATCCAAGGGTCTAATTGCTCTATCGATCTTGAGACAGCAGAGTCGCTTTTATTCCAGCCCTACTACGAATCGAAATGATTCTCTTCCTCGCTCCGAACACTCATGTCCACGAGTCCAGATGATCCCATCTGCCGTTTCTATCAACAAGGCAGCTGCAAATATAGCTCTCAAGGCAGGAATCAACACCTGAACCTTGTCTCTGTATGTATTACAATGATATTACCACCTTTAGTCACACAACTGGGCAGGAGACGAACAACAATCAAGGGCAGAATCTGAATACGAACTGGGCTCAAACTCGTAAGAAAGGACGGCCAGGTACAGCTAGCTGTCATCACGCAACTATAGCCAACGATGTTGTCAGTAGTGAAGCTAAGACGGTCTTCTCTCAAGCCAATCTTAATCACCAAGACAATGACAACTCAAAGAGCCATGTATGTTTCCCGTGGCAAAAGGGAAGCTGTGCGAAAGGAGAGCCATGCAGATTTGATCATGCTCTAAAAGTGTGTTATCTTTTTATTCTCATTCGCGTTTCCATACTGACTAACGATTTGCAGATTCGAGACCAATCTGTTGATGGAGAGAATCAGATGCTAGAACAAGAAAATTGCGTACCGTTGTCCTCAATTTTGCCAGTTCTAAAAGTGAACAATAATCAGTGCCATGCATGGATGAAGGGAACTTGCACCAGAGGGGAGAAATTCCAGTTTCTTCACGATGCCAACGTGAGACCTTTCCTTTCAAATCGTAACCTAACCAACTAACATTCAAAACAGACCTCGAGTTCAAGACAGAGCCAACTTGATAAAGAACACCACACAAATCTGGCTCGAGCGAAGGCCGAAGAAGCTAGGAAAGAAAATTGTCGCCTGTATCAGGAGGAAACCCAGAGGAGGAGAGATGAAGAGCGGCGCAGACAAAAGGGAGCCCGGATCCGTCAGGAAGAAGAACGGCGTCGAATCGATGAAGAGCAGCGCACAGCAGATGCCCAGCGGACCCATCAATGTATCATCTTCGGGTCCATCGTTACCTTCAGCTCCGGCCTTTCCATACAGAATATAATCGCCGGCTTTGACTCTTGCAGAATTCGGGTCAAGAATATTCCTCACGATGCCCATCCGAACGAAGTCCAGGATCTCTTCATACAACAAGGCCTCGATATATCCAAATTCCATGTCTTATCCGTGAACAGAACCAGTGACAGTAAGCAGGATGTCGATGTCGTTACCACTGTTACCGTCGCGCAGAGGTTAGCCGCAAGTCTTGAAGGGATGGAGTTCAGGAACGAAAGGCTGGAATTTGAAATTGGCACATTCAATCAGCCTGGTGGTATGGGTGTGTTGGCGCCTCGAGATGGGAACGTCCTCACCATTTCATGTCAAGCCCCGTCTAGGACCTTCATCGTCGAGTATCCTGACATGGAAACTTGTCGTTCAAAGGTGATGGAATTGAATGGTCGCATTTGTTCCGGCAGAAGGATGAAGGTTGAGATGAACCAACTAACTCCTGGTTGTCGCAATTTCCGACCAAATACAATCAAGATCTCTAATGTCCCTGATATTCCTTCGGCCTCAGTATGCATTTTCGCCCAGTCCAATTATGAGGATGTCAGGCTTCTCAAGTCTTGCAGTTTCAACGTTGGTGCTGTCTCTCGTCAGCTACAACGACATATTGAAGAGGTCGGTGGCGTTGAGGTTCATGCATTTGATGTAACCTCCATAGGTGACACTGGAGCCGGAATAATCTCCATACGTGTTCGTTTCGACAGCTGGGATAGTGCCAAAAGGGTTCAAGACTTCCTAGCCAATCGACGTTTTGATTTCATTGGTGACTCCATGTTCTGGTTCAAACTACCACCACAGGAGGTTTACAGCATCATCATCTCGCCAGATCAGTATCGCGCCCAAGTCAGCCTTTGGACAGAATTACAGAAGAGTATCAAAGATCGCAAAGCATGCGATCTCTTCATTCGCCAGATGCCTCATGGGGACTTTCGCATTCAAGTATCAGGAGCTGTCAGGGCTGCCGTCGGTGCTCTCAAAGTACACGTCGAGAGTATTGCTGCTGGTGAAAAGTTTGATCAATGGCACGAGCACCTGGTGCGGCCACCGGCTGCTCTGAAGGAGAGGATGGCAGATGCGGGTGCTTTCATGCGGGCAGATTTCAAGGCGCGTACCATTAAATTATACGGAAATTCGGTAGCCATCGCGCAAGGCAAAACGATCTTGAAAGAAGAGCTCGATCGTCTTATGTCGCTACAATTTTCGCTGAAGCTGGAGCATCAATCGGCGGGATACTTCCTCCGCACCGGTCTCAGTGCAATGAAGGAGGTATTCGGAGAAGACTGCATTACCCTCGACAGGAGCTCAGAGAGAATCACTATCCGAGGTGGCGAAGAAGTCAGACTCCACCTGAAAAACCACATCGCCGAGTCTCTAAAGACGGTTATTTTCCAAGTCGCACCAGGAACTCATACCTGTCCCGTCTGCCATGACGAAGCCTCCGCACCATTCCAGCTAGTCTGTCAGCATGTCTATTGTACAGCGTGTATCCGACATTTCTTGACATCTGCAGCGGAGACAGGTGTATTCCCTTTGGTATGCATGGGCAACGATGTGACTTGCGTCACTCCGATATCCATTCCTGTTCTTCAGAAGTTTTTGTCTCAGAGCTCTTTCGAACATCTCCTCGAGACGGTCTTTACATCATATCTCGATAAACATCCCCAGGTGTTTGGGTACTGCAAGACCCCATATTGTATGCAGATCTATCGCAAGTCGAAATCTCCATCTCTTTTGCGCTGTCCATCATGCTTCTCCAAAGTATGCTCATCCTGTGGTGAGGATTTGCATTTGCATGTGGGAAAGAACTGTGAAGAGGCTCGAAATTCTAATAGTGCAGCTGAGCAAGAGAAGTTAATTGAGGCTTGGATTATGCAATAGAGCGGAATGAAGAAATGTCCATCATGCTCGCATTTACTGGAAAAGATCGCAGGATGTAGCCACATGCAGTGGCCGTCCGTGTTCTAAGCATCTCACCAAAAAATATGAATGACTGATCATGCTTCAGATGCGGAGCCCACATTTACTGGCAGTGCATGGGCATTTTCCCCACGAACGAGATCTACAGGCACATGAATGCCGAGCATGGAGGGTTCTATACTGCTGATTCCACTCCCAGTGCAAATAACAATGTGCCTCCAGAACCCTTCCAGGGTGCTGATTATGGGGAACAAGCAGGGCTCTTCCCCCAGGCTTATCAGCAATGAGAACTGTGGCATATGTATCAGGCACACCAACAATTCCTATGAGTGGCTCAGAGAGCAAGAGAATATGCAGCCCAAGAATGAATGAGGGAGAACATTGTAAGCCCTTTTTGTGTCATAATGTGATAATAGCAGTTGATCATTGATAATGAGCCCTGATATAGCCATACATTGTCTACAAGCATCACACTATGTAATGATTTACTATGCCAAGATTCACTACTACTAGTCTTCTAGTCATGCTTCCAGAGAGAAAAATAAATACTAAGTGTCATGATTTTAGCCTCTAAATCATGCACAGCCAAGGCTTGATTTGAGGCAGTGAGACAATGGCTTGGTTTGAGACAGCCATAGGATCAGAGATATACCAAAGCTTGGTTTGAGGCACTGAGACAAGGCTTGGTTTAAGGCACTGAGACAATGGCTTGGTTGAGATCACAGACTTTTCTATACAGTATTTAAGTCAGTAGTATAAAATAATACATTTTTATGTTGTCAATAGCAAGGATTTTGAACACTGCACCAAGTCTTGGGTAAATCAGCAAAGTAAAAGACTGTCTGCATGATTTCACCAAGTGCAGAAACAAAAATAAGAATAGAAAGTACAACAATTGACCACTGCTGTCTCCACAGCATCCAACAACATCAAATCTGTTAATTTTATGAATAAGCTATAATAAAAATGAGGTAAGTGCATAATGATAGAGTCTGCAAGAATGATACAGATGATGCTTGGAATACTCTCATCCAATACTGCTATATCAGATATTTGGTCCAAATACTCTGATCATTGGTGATCAGCATATAGTATATATATAGCCAATTAAAGGCAATGTTGATGGTGGTACAACTATAGAGAAGGATTATGATGGTGATCATAGCTTGCCTAATAGGCTGAGACTTGTTTATATCTGTATCATGATTTACTAACTTCAGTGTGAATACTATAAAAGATAAAAAAAAGTCATCAGATATCAAAAAGATGATTAGCATTGCTCTTAGCATTATGATAAAGAAAAAGATAGTCTTTTCTATTGACTCTTGAGATTATCAAAGTATTTCATGAAGTGATTATGAGATACAAGTACTGGTGTATTTCTAGAAGCATATCCAGCTCTGTTGAACATGGTTGTTGCTGTGATAAAGAAACAGCATCAGTAGTGGTATGGCTGTCTTGCCTAAGCAACTCTCTATGCAGTTACATCAAATCCATCACTGCAGAGAGAAGCAACATGATGAGTGAATTTTCCACTGCAACTTCCAAAAGTTCTCTTCAAATAAGCTACATACTCTATGTGAGAATCACTTTTGAAATCAAAAGTCTATACCAGAAAGTTTGAGTCTTGTATGGCATATTTGTACAATGCCTGCTAAGTCTCAACTCTCTGATCCTTTTTTTGGGCACATGTCTCAACTGAGTTGCATTCAACCTACTCATACAGATGCTGCATACAGATATCACCAAGACAACATTGAATTTTCTATCAGAATGAGTGGGGTCAGCATCAGAGAGTAACAAGTGTGATAGTCCTAGCTAATGCTGACAGTTCATTAAGCTGAGATCCACACAACATGGATCACCCAGTACACCAGGGTAGGACGGCAACTTTGATGGTGACCGGTGATAAAGCGACGTTAGCCACGACAAGAAGTTCCATATGGCTGCACTTTTCGGCCAACGAAGAACAACGGCGAAGGACTGAACACAGGCCGAAAAGCACGTTCTCCGTGTGCTCAAGCTACGCAAACTGGTATTGACGTGTGCAGTGCCTCCTGGTGTTGTTCCGACGCCTAGCACCGGCATTAGGGTACATCGAACCCAATTGGCTTCTCTTCCCTCTTCTTCCATCCCTGGACGTCTGCTCAGCGATATGCATCCAATAAAGTGATCATGCGCTCAGGGCGCTACAATGCAGCATAGACCAAGATACGGTAATTGGAGTCGGCGATGAAACTGGATGGATGTATAGAGCCGGTGCGTGCTACATTTCGCCATATCATCCAATCACAGCTAACCATTTTGCTTTTTTTCCAGACCACACAACGGAACCGAGGGATCGTGGAATCGTCAGTTGGAACGGAAAAACCTACTGCGCCGATATTCTTTCGCTGCCCGTGTATCTATACATTTTTCTTCGCATCCAAAGCGGCCGTATCGGGCTGTTCCATTCTCCGTTCTGGCCTGATAGCAGCAGGTTCTCAAATTTGGCGTAGCAAATGCCATATATTCGCATGATATTTATTCGAATTCGTTTTACTGTCCCGGTTATCTATCTAACCGAAGAAATGTCCTTCATATTGCCTCATGATAGCCTTTCGCGACGTCTGACTCTTGTATTCCTGTGCGTCATAATCAGCCACAAGAGTTGAAACGTGCTACTTTGGCACGGGACCGCTCGCTCGCAACCAACGTTGGTCATGGGCCAACGTGGCAGCTCCAGCGTGCAATAGGCGCTCGGGGTCGGACGGTATTTTAGGGTGTTCCTCCAAATTCGTTCACATCAGGACCTCTGACGCCATAAGAGGACCCATTTGCTTATCTTATCATTGTGGGGGTACTCCTGTCTTCCTCCCTCACTCTAACTACAACCAACACCACCACCAACAACAACCGCGTTTCCTAAACGAATCTTCACTGCTTCGTTATGTCAGTCGTCTCTGTCTCCAACGCCGTTTCTGACTCTGTCGTCAAGTCTGCTGGTGCAGATAAGGGCGCCAGCGCACTGCTCTCCCCATCTTTCCCCTCCTTGCGAACCATCAAGGACCAACGGGCGTACGAGCACAACCGTCAGCGTGTAAAGAAGGCTGCGGACGTCTTCAAGATGAGGCAGAAGAAGAAGTCGGGTCCACCTCCTCCCAAGCTCGACAGGGGTACCGCGTCGGAGAAGGACAGGAGACTCAGAGCGGACGACGTCGACCCGCTGGACGGCATCCTCGTCGAGAGCGCGCGTCGGGATGATACCCCGCCTTTGCCCAGATCATCCGAGGTGAAACTGTCTGATCTCATCGTTCGGAAGCAAGATACGAAGAAGGGTGCGTGCCAGGCCTTTTGCTTCCGGCTGTCGTGGTGCTTATCGCTCTCACAGACTCGGATTTCGAAGTCATTCCTCATGTCCGTTCCGTTATCGTCCTTGATGACTTTACTCCCGACCTTGCCGCTGATGAGCCTTGGGAGTATATCTATGGCGAGAGCGATGATGAAGGCGAAGTGGCACACAAACCTTCCTATGCACAGGTTCTCCTTTCCAATTAGATATCATATAGCGATAACCTCACCGTCACTACCCACATTAATTATATCTATTAGCCAGGACTAGATTCTATTCTACTTTGCGCAGGCTGTCGTTTATGCCATTTGGACCCTTGCGTTGTATGTAGGATTATATGTAGTTTACTATAGTCAATATCATGATTTCTATGAATTACATGTGCTTATGATATGCCAAATTCGCGAATACTCAAACCATGAAATCATTATACTAAGATCAATACATATCGATAGAAAATTAAGCAATCTACTCAATCCAACTCGGGTAAATGCACCGCCCCCAGCCACGCCAAAATAACTTCCACCCTCGGCCCATGAAGGGGTATGTTAATCTGCAACGGCTTCTTCTTCGGGCCTGCCGCCTTCTCCGCAGCCGCCTTCTCCGCTCGTTCTCGTTGGCGGTGAACCACAGGCGCCAATAGGATCCTCGCACAGTCCAGCGCCTCGTCTGCGTCCTGACGGCCAGGGAGAGACGGTGGCGGAGACCCCGTACCGGACGACGAGCTGTCATCACGAGAGCTCCCAGCACCAGCGGTGGAGGAAGACCCTCCTTTCAGCGGGATGGGAGCAGGTGGAGGGGTGACCGGTCGAGCTTCGATAGCCAGTCTTCCCTTCGCCCGGCCCTTGCACAGCGAGTGGAGCTGAATACCGTTCTTCCATCCTCCAGCAAGCCGTTCCAGGACCTCGATGAACTCTGCTTGGGCCATAGACCGAGGAGGGAGGAAAACAGGGTACCCTTCCAGCCCATCTACGAGTGCCGCGGTGTGAATGAACCTCTTTAAGAGCCCAGAAAAGTCGGCAAGCATCAACTGGCAGATGAGCACGCTGAAATGGCTCTCCACGAGCAAAGGGTGGTACGTCGTGAACATCGCCGGCGCGTCAGATAACGGAAAAGCCGGTGCGGATCCGTTCGAGTGGTTTCCGGGCCGGATAGACTCTGAAAGCAAGAACGCGTACTCGACCTGCTTCGCCACGTCCTCACCACTGTCGAAAACCGAGTTAGACGACTCGAGCGTGTCAAAGTGGGCGAGGAACTTGTCGTGGTCGCGGATACTCTTCTTCAGCAAGGCAGTCACTTGGTCCTTGAACCTACCCTCACCAAGAGCATCCCTGTACGCCCTCACCTTCGCGCCGCCCATCTTCCCAAGTGGCCCATCAGGATGCCCAATCTCAACGCCACCGTACTTTCCATTCTCCAGATAACACAGCCTCAGCTCGGCACCATCAATCGACGGAGCTTTGCGTATCCCTTCGAGCTGCAGGACGGCGCCCTCAATGAGGTAGATGGCGTGTTGCAGATATGCCGCCCCGCGCAGGAACAGTAACTGCGGCTCGATCGGATCCGGGGCGTCAGGGAGAACAGATGGGTGGATCAGGAGTGGCTCCCCATCTGGTCCTTCGACGGCCGAGTCTATCGTACTGGTGCCACTGGGTGGAGCTTGCCCGTTGGTCTTGCCGCTTCCGCTTTTCCTCTTCTTACTGCTCTTGGTTCGCGACTCTGATGGTCCGCCTCGGTCGGTATGACCTACCTTGGCCTTCCACGCGGCTCGGGACTCTTTGAGAGCATAGGTGAAATCTCTGGTGGCCTCGGGGTATTCATCGCGGAAGCAGCGAACGATTCCACGCGTACGGTAAAATTCCAGTCGTTGAGGCTGAGCTCGGATAAGCTCGTCGAGGACTTCGGTAGTCGTAGACTCTGCTAGTTGACGAGAAGGGATCTTCTCGTGAAAGAAATGGACGTATTTCGCGTCCGCGTCGTTGGGATCTGTTCATTTTTTGTGTAAATGCTTGTAAAAAAAAATAATTGTTGATAATGACCACGCACCGACTTTGAGCACTCGTTCAGCTACATCGTCAAACACGCTACCGCCCTGCATAACCATGACGCTCGACGCGATCTCGTCGGCTTTGTACGCCTGGGCGAGCTTCTGCACAGCCAGCGCTCTCAATCTATGGATACGCATCGCAGACATTGCGACGTTCCTCCCAGTACCACCAACATTACCTAGAGGGTTAATTCCTAGTGTCTGAGCCGCTGCCCACGGGCTTCCCCCCAGTCCCACAGAACCCCCTCGCATGGAACCCAATTCGGCTGCAGAAAGTCCGGAGGATGCCCTAACCGACAATTCGGCTGCCTCGTCGATAAGTCGACGTATCGAAGTAACGTTACGGAACACTCCCGGATCGATAGGCGGTGGGGTTGCTTTGCCAGGTTGTGGTGGAGGGATTGGAGGAGGCAAGGGAAGGCTGGCGAGTGATGCTCGTGGAGAGTCGGGAGGCGAGAAATCGTTCAAGTCGCGGAAGCTACGGTCTCGAATACGGTTTGTGTTGGAATTTGGGGTCGGAGGTATTGAGGGTATCCGTGGCTCTGTAGCCGACAGCGTTGCAGGGTCGAGATTGAGCACCAATAAAGATTCGAGCAGTTCAATAGGCAATTGAAGCCATGGTCCCTACATTCTCATTAATTCGAAAGAAAATATGACAGAAAAAAGCGACGCACATGGTAGGAGCTAATGTATCTCCAATGCTTGTTCCTGCTAATACAGAGAACGGGAGGACGGTCTTCGTCTACCAATTTCGGTGCCTCTGACTTCGCTTTGGTTGATTTCTTTGACTTCTTTTTCTTCTTCTTCTTCTGCGTTGACGCTGGAACATCCGGTGCTTCATCTACGCCGTCAAGGGTAGCAGAACGCGACCCGGACATAATCGAAGTTGGGGTCAACAGGCTCGAATAATCGACATCCGGCGAGTCCAAGGTGTCACCCAGAGAGTATATTTCATCCATAACAGCAAAAGTCTTGTAGAGCCGATTTCTGGTTGAGAATTGCAAAGGATACGAGTTCGACGATGGTGGTAAGTACAAGCTCGGTAAAAATCGAAATATAGCAAATTCTTACCGTGGGAAATCAAATAATTAAATAACCAATTGTTTCAAGAAAAGAGTCCGCGACGGCCCGGCCTTCCGCACCTAACATGTACGGGAGCATATGGTCGTCTAGCAACTAACACGATGGCTGTCGTGCTTCATGGGTCCCGTTTTCTATCAGTGTGCTGGATTATCTTCACATCTTGAAGCCGCATTTTTCGAGGAATTCTCTGTTTCTCCAACTGGAGTAATCAGTTTCGACTTTACACCTGCAACTGTGTTCCGTTCATTTCCTGGGCTTCGGGGGGGATAACTCCTGGTAACTACTCGTCGTGCCCATGGTTCACTCGAAGATGAAGCTTTGATATACGGCAACTACCTCGTCCAGGTGAGAATATGTCGTCTCTAATAGAGTGAATAGGTCGAAGTTGCACCCAATTAAATCGCGACCCGTTTTCGCATGGATAGGTGAGCAGATATATGTATTTTCCTTCGCGACCCATCTGATATATAGCGCAGCAGCCAGGTTTCTGATTCATCTGAAAATTACATCGGAATGAGCGCATTGTTTCGTTGCCTCGACCCTCGCCTCATTTCCAGCTTATTTGTTCGGTTCCAATGTCTCCGGCAAGGATGTCAACCGAGATGCTTTCCCTTTCGCCGAAGGGTCCCCCCCCTGCACCACCGTGGTAAACCAACTCTCATGGCGACGATTAGAAATGTTCTGGATACACCACCATTCTTTTTTGCTCCAATCTCGGTACCGGCTGCGACCCAAATTTCACCCAGACTGGGAACCAACTTGTAAATCGGAAAGGGAGATGATATTTAGCGAAGAGATTCTTGCGCATACGGTACTAGTAAAAGATTATTCTTGTCAGATGACTGATATTGCATTGCAGAATCCTGACATTATTGATGCAACATGCATTCAAGATGGTAAGCTCGTTGCTTTGAAGCGCATCGTGAAGACAGAATTTCTTTTCGAAGTCAAATTAGGAACATTCTTTTCTTCCTCTCCCTTGTCCGATAACCCGAGGAACCACTGTGTTCCTATCTCTGAGGTTCTCCGGTCTCCGCAAGATCCTGACGCACAGATGATTATTATGCCACGGCTGCGAGAAATAAGGACGCCTTCATTTGACACCGTAGGCGAATTCGTCGAAGTATTTCGACAAATATTTGAGGTGTGTGCCCCTGCTCGTTATGAGTGTGGTCCGATTAAACTTCTGAGTAGGACGTCGAATTTATGCATGAATACTTTGTGGTGCACAAGTCAGTCTTCACCCAGTTTGCGCTAAACCTATGATCATTCGCTTCCAGAGATATCAGTATTTTGAACGTCATGCTAGAGGCTAGCAAGCTGTATCACAAAGGATTTCATCCTGTTTTTCATTCTTTTAACAATAAAAACACTGGCTTCGCGATGCATATTACGCGTATTCAGTGCTGGCCCCGTCATTATATCATCGATTTTGGGTACTCCCGTCGCTACGATCCGAATGAACTTCCATCCGATATCATCCTGGCCGCAGGCGACAGGTCTGCGCCAGAGCTTAAGAGACTCCATGCCGACCCATCTGCCAGATTGAATCCGTTCTCTTTCGATGTTTACTGCATAGCGAACATAATGCGTAAAGATTACCGTATAGTAAGTTTTACGGCACACTACATCGATAATCAGTGATAACTGACGTTTCCTTGGCAGGAGTTCTATCCGCCTCTGCAATTTCTTCTTCCCCTTGTGGATGATATGACTCAGGACGAGCCTTCGTTGCGGCCTACGATCAGCGAGGCTGTCGCGCGCTTCGTAAGACTGTAATTCACTGTGTACATCACAGCTGCGTGCCTTTCCGGGCATCGGTGCTGCTGGGCTTGGTCATCGCTGTCGACGGTTGAAATATACAGTGACTGGGGTGCCTCCTCTGCCTATGAAAAGATTTCCTGAGTTTACGACTATCGATGATTCGACCCTCCGGCCATTCTATACTCTTATGCCGGACACTGTTCGTAGGGGTACTATCAACTAATTCTGGTGCTGATGATACATTCTCATCAACGTGTTCAATACTATTCACAGAAACAAAGAGTTAAGATAACAGAAGACCTGAACGCAAACACAAGGACGGTGGAGCACAATGAGAACTGATACTTTCCCTGAGTACCTTATATGTTCAGGAATCCTAGCATGTCTTAGCTTTCTCAGATGTTTTCACCATCGGTACCAGTAACTAGAGGGTGCTTATTTAATATGGAGATCAACAAGGTCCAATCTAGGTCCATCTGTTGCAAGCAGGTTATTTGCAAAGTGACTAATGGCCTGAGTGTGACAATCATTTGCTTATTGGGTATATGAAGTATGTATAACTACTACTCACCTGAGTGCAATGGTCAATTGCTTAAGGAGAATTGACAATCAACTCAGGACAAAAAACTGTCTAAGCTTATGTAAGGTTCACTCCATGCACTTGTGTCATCCTGCAACACTCCCCCCTGACACAATACTTCTCAGGGTTCAAGACCCAACAACCTGATCATGTGAGTCATCTTCTCCTTTCCCAAGGCTTTTGTGAAGATGTCAGCAGGCATATCTTCTATGCAAAGATGTTCAATGTGTATGCATTCCCACTCAATCTTGTCACATAACCAGTAGAAGCAGAGATTGAGGTGTTTGACATGACCATGATGGTCAGAGTTGCAAATAACAGAGAGGGCAGACTGGTTGTCAATCAGCAGTGGTGATGGTGACTGATGATGGAAACTGAATTCTGTCAACAGATTTTGCAGCTATAGGATTTCCTGTCTGACAGAAACAGCAGCCACATATTTGGCCTCTATGATTGATAATGTCACTATGGATTGTAAATGGCTCATCCAGCTGACTGTGCCTGTGCCCATCTTGATGACATATCCTGAGGTTGATCACCTATTGTTTCCACTATGGTCTTGAAATGATGAGAAGTGGCACTAAATGAATCAACAATGTGCAGGATGCACACCACCAAATCACTAACACCAAATCACAATGTGGTTTGAGGGAGGAATGGCAATACCTGGATTCCAAGTATGTAGAGAGTGTAATATAGATGGGATGCAATAAAGTGTAATTCAAAGACATATATTGTAGTTTGCTCAGACAAAGTTGTCTGTGTCACTGAACACATTAAAATCTATCTCAAACAGTCTGCCTGGTGCAGTTTCTGGACTGATATGATGTGTCTGGTTGTGACTTATACACAATACTGGCTGTTTCAAACTGTCTCAGATCTGTTCTGACTGTCTGATATAACTTTTGGTTGCTTTCTGGGGGTTCTTGCACAAAACAAAGTGATCTGGTCATCACAATACTATTCAGGTTGAGTCTACAACTCAAAGCTCTTAACCAAACACAACCTGTCCTATTCACCTAGTAGCATTTTGGAGAGGGTTAGAAACCTTTCTGTCTCTCTATACATGATCTGGTATTTATACTTCCTAGCTGCTCATAGCTGACTAACATAATCAACTACTGACTAATATACTTGCTGATGCAACCAGAGAGGCTAAACTCATTTTCTCACAGATATGAGCTCATATGCAGCTATCTGGTCAATTGATTAGGCTAAGCTCTAGTCTTTGCCAACATGCTGATCATATAAGTCCCTGTTTCTGGACCTGAAAACCTTGCATGTTGAATAGGGAGGCTTGCTAATGTCCCAGTCTCTGCTAGACATAGAGATGCCACACTTGAGAGAACTATGCCCTCTTCAGATAATCATTTGCTTAGTGTATCTTACTATAGTGGATATAGAGTAGCTAACTGGATAAAAAGTGATAAACATATCCTCTTTTCTATCTGGTTATGGTTGCCTGGCACATCAGTCTGCATCCATGTACAGTTGAACAGTTCTGGGTTTGTAGTGTCAGGTGAGTAGATCAGTTTTAAGTCAATCATGCTCCTTAAATATCTGAGAAGGTGCTTTAAGGCCTCCCAATGCTTTAATCCAGGGTTTTTTCTGAACTGTAATAGAACACTGACTGCAAAGCTATATTAGAGTGAGTAGCAATAGCCAAGTATGTCACAGAGCCAAGGATCTAGAGGTAGAGGATGTGCCACATGATTTCCCATTTTTCTGAAGTAGCAGAAGACATTGAAGTGAATAGCTTAGTGTGGAGATCAAGAGAAGTACTGACACTATTACAGTCAGACATTCTGATATGTTCTAGGACTTTATGGATGTATTGTGGTTGAGAGTATGTGAGTGCTTAGTTTAAATGATCTGTGTGGATTTTGATACTAAGAAGGAATAATGTTAGGCCTGGATTGTGAAGTTTGAAGTGCTTCTTGAGGTCACTGACAATATGTTGTGCAGACTATAGACTTTGCAGTAATTGTTACATCATCAAGAAACATGGAGACAATAATTTGAGCATCATCTCTCTTGTACACCCACACACTATGTTTGCAGCACACTCTGTCAAAGCCCATCTTGGTCATAGCATTATGGAGCTTTTTGTGCCACTCACATCCAGCCTGCTTCAGTCCATAGATGGACTTGAAGAGACAAAAGATCCAGCTCTTATTTTTTGTCTCAAATCTCTCTAGTTGTTGAAGGTATACTTCCTCTTTTAGGTCACCATTTAGAAAAACTAATGAAATGTTCATGCTCCAGAGTTTCAGATTCTCAAGTGCAGCAAGAGTGAGGACTATTTGGATGACTGCTCATTTTAGAGTAGGGAAGAAAGTTTTAGTGTAGTTGAAATCTGGCTGCTGTGAGTATCTTTTTGCAATGTAGCATGTCTTGTAGCATTCAATGGATCTATCAGAGATGTGCTTCACTTTAAAGATCCACTTTTCATCTATAGCATTTTGCCCTGGAGAAAGCTTCACAAGCTCAAAGATACCACTTTTCTGCAGTGCATTTAATTCCTGCTGAGCTGCCTCATATTATTTCTCACTTTCTTCTCTTGGTCAAGTCATCATCTCTGCAAATATCTTTGGCTTATCATCAAATATAGATGCTTAGTTTGCTATCTCTACTGCTATCTGAAATATAAGTGTGAGAGCTTCTGTGTATGTGATATAGTCATTGTTATACAATACAAAAGTCATTCCTGTGACAACATCTTTCTCAGTAAGCTGTGGTTCAGCAGTGGTTTCATCTATGAAATTAAGAATGGGTTTATCCAGATCTGATAAGTTTATCACATTAGTGCCAGAATTTTTGTGGTGAAAACCATGTCCAGTGTTTGGAAGTGGAATTATAAGACCTTTAGAGTCATATTGTGGCTTAAAGCATATCCAAGGATATGAAGGTGATGAAGAGAATGCAGGAGATTTTGGGAGATTTAGTTATGAAGTAAGAGATGATCCTAAAGGTGTTTGCATATCTGGTAGAGTAGATGGAGCTAGCCTAGATGGTGATAATGGTGATGGTGAAGGTGGCTCAGATGGCAGAGATGGCTTATCAGTAGTCACATTAATAGTTATGTTCTCTCTCTTGATGAGACATTGTTGCATTAGATATAGTAGTATCTGTGCTGTTATATCTGTTTTTAGGAGGTATATTATCACCAAAGGGATTTATGATATTTATGTGATTGCCAGAAAATACATGCTCATTGAATACAGCATGGCTGAAGGTGATAAATTGCCACATAGAAGGATTCCAGAATAACCTGCCTTTTACCTCCTCTGAGTACTGAACAAAGATACATATTTGAGTGTGTAACTTTAATGCTTGATGTCATTTCTTTTGGTGATGAGTCTCTAGGCTCTGTGTGTTCTGAAATTGTGGGCCTCAATAATACTTTTTAACCTCAGCTCTTAGATAGGCTTTCAGTAAAACTAATTATTTCAAGTTCAACACCTGTAATTTCATTGTAAACTTTTTATTATTTATGAACTTTTCCTTTTATATGAAGATTTTAGGTTACACATGAAATATTCATCCATTGTGAACTTTTCTGCATTTTCTGCAAACTTTTCATAGCTCACAAACTTTCTTCTGAATTTCTATGCATCATAGGCACAGCTAAGCACCATAATACCTGATGATATATGATCTACATCATCTCAATATACACATGGCACTCTAATACAGTCTATAAGGCTTATTGTGATGTGTATACAAGGTTTGCTACAGATGTCTAAACTTTTTACAGCTAGCATATGGAAGGCTAGTAGGCTACAGAGGACTAATCATGTGTTTAGTTGAAGATTTGTAAGAAATGTTAGAAGGACTAGCATACTATTGGCTATGTGAACTTTCAATTATACTATGTTTAGTACAAATCTTACAGCTTTGAAGGCTTTGCATTATAAAAAGTTTGCAATGCTCACTAAGCTAGTACTGCAGTTACCAAGGCTGTTTAATATAGCATACTTAGTATTAGTAAAAGAGTAGTGTAAGTAGTGTAACATAATATAGAAGGAGAGAAAGTGACCCTCTACAAAAAGATATATTGAGATTACTTGACACCAATATTAGACTATACATCTATACAACACCTCTCCAATAGAATTGATTATATTGATTGCATATAAATCAATATTTCTCAACTGAGAGCATCTAGCATCTCAACAACCTTACAACCTACTGAGAGACTCATGCATAACACACTAGTGAACTTATTAATTCACAAATATTGCTTTACTTTGTTTTCTTCTCAAAAGCATGAAAGAATTCATTGTTCTTGCATGTCATCCTCACATCTTCTAGACCAATCTGAAGACATTGATAGGATACTGTACATTTAACCTTCTAACATCATAGTTTACAGTTCCTGTATTAAGAAACAACACTAACAGTTTTTTTATAGATACTACTGAAACTGTATATAAGATTCT